TGACCATAGGGTGAATTTCAAAGGAATACATCCTAAAGAGTCCGTCAAAATGCAGACTCTCACAATAGAACCTTGTCAAGATGCAGGTTCGCACCCAGTGGGGGTGTAAAAACCATTAGAGTCAGTCAAGATGCAGACTCGCACAATAGAGCCTTGTCAAGATGCAGGTTCGCACCCAGTGGGGGTGTAAAAACCATTAGAGTCAGTCAAGATGCAGACTCGCACAATAGAGCCTTGTCAAGATGCAGGTTCGCACCCAGTGGGGGTGTAAAAACCATTAGAGTCCGTCAAGATGCAGACTCGCACAATAGAACCATGTCAAGATGCAGGTTCGCACCCAGTGGGGGTGTAAAAACCATTAGAGTCCGTCAAGATGCAGACTCGCACAATAGAACCTTGTCAAGATGCAGGTTCGCACCCAGTGGGGGTGTAAAAACCATTAGAGTCAGTCAAGATGCAGACTCGCACAATAGAGCCTTGTCAAGATGCAGGTTCGCACCTAGTGGGGGTGTAAAAACCATTAGAGTCCGTCAAGATGCAGACTCGCAGAATAGAACCTTGTCAAGATGCAGGTTCGCACCTAGTGGAGGTGTAAAAACCATTAGAGTCCAGCAAAATGCAGACTCATACCAGGTGGGGGTAGGTACCCATCAGAATCTTGCAGAACGGGATTCGGACCAGGTGGGGGTAGATACCCACCAGAATCTTGTAGAACAAGATTCAAACCTGGTGGAGGTAGATACCCACCAGAACCTTGCATAACGGGGTTCAGACCGGATGAGGGTAAGTACTCATCAAAAACTTTGCAGAAGGCATTAGGTGGAGTAAAAAATACTCACCTAAAGTATTTCAAAGATGGGTTGCAAAGACCTTACTCCTATTAGGGGATAGTTCAGTGTTGAGCACCTCGGAAGTAAGTACCCACAAGAGTTTAGCAAAATGCAAATTCATACCGGGTGAGGGTAAGTACTCACCAAAACCTTGCAGAACAAAGTTCATACCTAATGGGGGTAGGTACCCACAAAAGTCTAATAAGATACAGATTCATACCGGGTGAGGGTAAGTACTCACCAGAGTCTTAGAAAAAGAAAGCTCAAACCAGATAGGGGTTAGTACCTATCAAGATATTTATCATCCGGAGGATCATCAAGGAGCAGTATCCGAAGGATAGCCGGGCAAAAGGGCCAACTCCTTCCCCTACCAACTAATTATGACGGCATATTAAAACCAACAAATTAGTTAGGCAGGTGAAGGGGGGGCAGCTGTAGACCCCTAATTTTGCCCGGCCTCTCAAAATAAAAACTAGAGGAACTTCACCCGAAGATGGAGTTCATCCGGTTTCCCAAAACGAGAAGGATCTCCCACAACAAAAGACGGAGTTCACTCATTCACACAATGAAAGCCAAAAGAGACTTCCTACACAAAGACAGAGCTCGCCCAGCATCTTAATGAAGGCCAAGAAGACTTCCTATATGAAGATAAAGCTTCAACAGACATATATCGGCATCCACTGACGTCCAAAACAGGCAAGGAAAGCTTCCCGGAGTCCCGAAACGCGCGAAACTGGCCAGAACAAGTCGAGACGGCCGTCCCAGTTGGGACGGCCGTCCCAACCTGCTCCAACCAGTTGGGACGCGCGTCCCGAAGTTGGGACGGCCGTCCCAAACCCCAGTTCAAGTGGGACGGCCGTCCCGGGTTCCCAGGGTGTCCCAGCCTGTGTAATTTTGCCATTTGGGACGGCTGTCCCAGTCCAGACGGCCGTCCCATCCAGACGGCCGTCCCAAAGTGCGCCAGCTGCGAAAAACTATAAATAGGAGGCTCATTTGCCACTTTTTCACACCACGGACACTCCGGAGAGCTCGAAACACTTTAGAGCACTTGTCTACTTCTCTCCCTCTCTCGAATGATCTTTCCGATTGCCTTAAATAGGTAACAATCGGTTAAGGAATTATATTCCGGCATTTGATTCTTCTTTAAATTTTTAGTAGAGTCGATCTTGTATTGGTGAGGAGAGACTGTGTAGAGGAGGGGTTGCCAAAACGCATCCTCACGGTTCGAGATTCTCAATATCAAGCTTGCTACGGAGGTTCTTTTCAATTCTCTTCTCTTTTATTGCTTTATTTATCGTTTTATTTAGCTTTATTTATGCCATGTAGAATAAGATCATGTAGATAGCTATTTTAATATCTCTTTTATTGTTTTATTTAGCTTTATTCATCATTTTATGCATGCAACGTAGAATAAAATCATGTAGCTAGTCATTTAATATTATGTAATAAAATAGGGTAATCGCGTAATTTCTCGTAGTCTTTATTTAAATGAATTAATCTGTCATAGGGAACCCGAAAGGGGCGTTGTGGGGTGCTAACACCTTCCCCACACGTAACTAACTCCCTTACCCAACTCTGGTTATAATGGCCAAGTGCGGTTTTTCTTGAAATCAACATTTTTCCCTTTTCCAATGTTTAAGGTCAAAACATCGGTGGCGACTCCATAAGAACCCCTTTTTTTCGAAAATCTTTTAAAATAAAAACACGAGTCTAAACCATCTTTTCGCGACCGCTCGCATAAACGTTTCTAAGACGTCCCACCGGACGTCGGAAAGGGACGGCGGCGACATCATGGAAGAACAGTCTCCATTGGAAATGATTCCGTATATTCCACAACCTGACCGTGGCACGCCTCTCTCATAGTTCGAAAGGACTATGCTGCATCAGATGAATGAACTGCAAACCAATCAAAGGAGGCACATGGAGATGACATTTGCTCTACGAGCTCTCCAGCATCGTCTGGATGAAGATTTCATTGCCAGATTTCAACACATTGACAATCAACTGGAAGATATCTTCAACAGAATTGGTGATCTTCAATTCAATCAGGGTCCCTGGGATAGTGATGAATGAAGTCTTGTTTTTTTTATGTTTTTTGTTCTCTTATTTCTTTTCCTTGTTTTTTTGTTTTGGGTACCTACGTGGTACTGTTGGGCTGTAACTAAACACTTTATTTGATGAAGTCAAATAGGGGGAGAAGTGTTTGCTTATAACTGTCATTACACACACACCACAAAATCATATATGTCTCTGTTCTGTTATTACTTGTGCAGGTGCAGTGGTTATTTGTCTCCATCAAATAGGGGGAGATTGAAGCACTTGTTGGATTTGATGAAGACATATTGAGTTGATATAGTTTAGTTTGTGGGTGTGTAGATGAATATGTTAGAAGTTTAAAACTTAATCTCTTGATAGGCCAATAGATCTTGTGATAAGCGCCTTGAAATGATGCATCTCATTGAACTCAATTTTTCTGCATGAAAAACTAACCTTTAAGCATTAAAAGAACAAACTAAGTTTTTCAATCTATTGAAAAGGAGTTTCAATCTGTTAAAATCACTTAACATAAGAAGTGTTCATATATAGTCGAAATGTCAATTGGTTGAATCGCAAAATCAACAGGTTAAAAATGTTCTTAATGATTTTTTCAAATATTAAAGGTTTCGCATTTTCAATCTGTTGAAATGTTTTTTAATCTGTTGAAACAGAAAGACCATTTTTTCAGTCTAAAAGTTTACAGGATTTCAATCTGTTGAAATGTTTTTTAATCTATTGAAACAGAGAGCTATCATTTTTTTCTAAGCTGTTTCAATCCATTGAAAAATCGAATCAATCGATTGAATGAAGTTTTAAATAAAATCAATCGATTGAAACGTCGTTTTAATCGATTGAAAAGTATTCTGATCGATCATAATTCGATTCTAATCGATCATAATTGATTCTAACCTGTTATATTGTTATTCTGATCGATCATTTGCTACTCTGAATCAGTTTTTATCAGTTTAAGCATTCTGGTTCTCTCTTTTATTCTATAAATACAGGTTTGATCTATCTTTTGAAATATACAATTTGAGAAAACATTTTGAAAGCAATCTTAGAGCTATCATATCCGTGACTTTCTCTGTGCATTCAAAAACTTTTCATATCATAAGGTGCTTTGATCAAGATTGTTGTTCATCAAAGAGAGAAAGTTCTGAGTTAGAATTGCTTCTGGACATCTATACTGTTAAAGCTGCAGTCCAGGTTTTTTCTTTTCATATTCTTGTATAAAGTGTGATTGTGTAGATTGGGTTTTGAATCTGCACTGGTTACAGTAACTGGATTTGGTTACTGGGAGGTTTTCAAGAGTCTATCTTGTGGGTTTGTGAGATAGTTCTTGGGGTAGATTGGTGAATATCTACTGGTTGTAATTTTCACTTGGAATTAGTGGAACTTGGCAGATTTGTCAAGAACTGGATGTAACTCTGGTAAAGAGTGAACCAGTATAAACTTTTGTGTTGAATTTCTGCTTTCATCTCTTTTATTTCTTGTTTATATTCTTGCTGTGATTAAAATCAAATCTACCTATAGAAGAATTGAACAAAGATAAATCATTCTTCCCAAAAAAAGTGTGTTTTAGAAAAAGTTTTCTAAAGTTCAATTCACCCCCCTCTTGAACTCAACCATTAATTCTTACAGGACTGCCCTTTCTAATTCTATTGTTAATCCAGACAAAAAAAAACTTAAAGTAATATCTTCAGAAATAACCACTCTGACTAATAATGAATCATATTTTTCTAGATACTCCAATAAGGCTCCATCATGTTTTAATTTTGCTAATTTCGCAATGGGATCATCAATAGTCTCAAGATCAAAGCGATTACCCGTATCTTGAAACAAGTTACCTAGTAATGTTCTTAATACATTAGTAATGGAAATAAACTTCTCTTTCCATTTTGAGCCTTAAAAAACAACTAAAACTATTTTTCAAATTCTTCACAAAGGTAGGAGACAATTCTCCCAAGGAAAAAAATAAATAAATAAGGCAACTTCCCACTACTCGTTAAGTTAAAAAAAAATGTATTTATAAATATTTCTCTTCAACTTACTCGTTAGCTCATGGACGTGAGATTAACTTTTCCTTCTACACAAATTTTTACGTAATCTAAAATTTTCCTTTTCAAGTATGAGGAGTGTACCCAATCTTCAAGTGGCTTGTCCAAGATGTGATATGGTCCAAGTCTAAGAGGTGTGTGTTTTTAGTTTTAATTTTATTAAAAAAGAAAGAATTAAAGCCTACAATATTTATACACAAAGCAAATAAAAAATAGAAAAAGAGTCCGCATACTGTATTGTGGCATAAATGATCTTCCATCAATTAGCTAAAGTTACAAATTTAAGAGGATTGTATTGTAACTAAATGGCAACAAAATTTAAGAGATTCACTCAGAGAATGATAGCAGCAATTAATGTTGTTGACATATGGTTGTCCATCAGGGTTCTGAAAAAGAAAAAGTGATGGTCTAATCAAGCTAGGCTCACTAGGGCATAGTGGACAGTGACAGCAGTGGCTTGTTATCCCTCCACTGTTGGGAGAGGGAGGTTTTCGCTGCACTGTGAATCCAGCCTCACGCATTGCCCTCCTCTCTAAGACCTAAGAGATCAAGACCTTCGTCCAAATCCCATGAGTCAACTCTTAACTTGGAATGGGCAGGCCAACACATTGCAATCAAAGCCCAACCCAACAAGCCACAGAGATATCCCATCACCATAATTCCCTCACAAGAGTCACAAGCTAACATAACCTAGCTCGGCAAGCTGACAATCTTGTCAGATGGTTATAAAGAATTGGTTACTTTATTTTGTGCTCAAGGTGGGACTTGTAAAAGTAGAGGGAAACACAGAACATTGTCGAGATGCATTTATATCCCCTTTTATCTAGCAAGATACAAATGATAATTGAAGCGATTAGATGAAAAATATTGCAAGTAATTTGTACTTTCTGCTTACCTATAAAATGATTAGTTACAATTTGCAGAAAGTGATTATTCCTTGTCTTAAAATGACATAACAATCTCCCGCTGAGAACGGTTCTGAATGATAAAACTCTTGGTGTGCATAGCGAAAAGGCATTTAGAAGTTTAAAAATTTATTTCAATAACTTAAATAAGAATTATTTCTAAGATAATTATTGAAAAATTCATCAAACTTAATTTCATGTTACACTATTATTAATACATATGCATATATGAAAAAAAAAAGCACTAAACTATGATTTTTTTTATTAAATTACTGATTTGACTGGTTTTTAAGAAAATTGAGTAAATAAGAAAGTCGTCTTTAAAATAAATTATAAGTTGACGTATGTTATATTTTAAGTTTTTTTACATGTTTTATATTATTATTATTATTAATAAAATGTTATAATGTTTAGGGTTTATTTTTTTATAATTATTTTTTAAAATTTATTTTATTTTCTCTTTTCATCCTTTAAATGTATTCATTTTTAATCATATTTTTTATATATAAATTATAATAACTATTTTTTGAAATTATAATATTTTTCTTTTTTTTTAATATTATAGAAGAAAATCTCTATTATATATAATTAAAGATAATAATAAATATAATAATATAATTAATAATAATTATTAATTTAATTATTTATTATTATTATTCTTATTGTTATATATAAATAATAAAATTAAAAAATAAAATTCGAAGATAAAGATTAAAATAAAATAAATTAATACAAACTAATCTCACTCTTTAAATATAAATAAGTGTCATTTCTTTTCATTTATATTTAGTTCCTGACAAAAGAAATATTAGGAGAATACCACCCGACGACGAAGAATACTTTTCCTAGGGAGATAAGTTTCTCATCTTCACTTATTTTATAGAATCATGGTATTGTTAAGTCTCAAATTAGAAAGAAAATAACTCGTGCGGGAGGTATGAATAATTGAAATGTTAAATTGATTAATGATGTTTTATGAAAATAAGAAATTAATAAAGAAGTATTATTAAAGAAAGAGATTCAAAAATATTGAGAAGTAAGAACAACATTAATTGAGAATTGAAGATTTAAGGAATAAAGAATATTGAAACTAAAGAACAGAATGTAACGAAGAAAAAAAAAATTTCAAAAGGGGATTGTGCTTCATGTGGTATATCACATATTTGTGGAGATAATTATGATCTAGTTCCTTGGTATGCAGTAGTGGATATTGACCATTGATCTTGGAGAGACCAAATAATATATTATTAATAAATAATAAATAAATATAAAAAGAAGAAAGAAGATGAAAAAGTGAAAAGATAAAATTGTAGATTTGACCGGAACAAAATCATAAATTATATGAGAGTTAAAAACTGAAAAGAGACTGAGAGGATAAAATTGTAAATATACAAGTAAATATATTAAATGTTCATTATGTTTGGTGGGGCCAAAATCATAAATTACATGAGAGTTACAAAACTTTGGGGGGTCACGGCCCCCTCAGCTCCTAAGAAGATCTGCCACTGTTGGTATGCACAATTACAAACGACAAGTATGAACAAAGTGGATTGAAGGATATTGAAAACGTTTATAAGGAAATAATCGTTCAAAGATTTCATTTGTTATTTTATTTTTATTTATGTCGCCTTGGCAATTACATATATATATATATATATATATATATATAGGATAAAATAAATGTAACTAGAGAGATTTTCAAATTGTAGGAAAATTTACATTCTGAAAAACATTACGAACTGAGAATAAGAATTTTCAATTAAGTTCTTTGCAATTTGGATCATCATTTTTATTCATTTCCTCTATCAATTTCTTTTCTATCATTGGTAATGAATTAAATTTATTTTTTTGTCATTTACTTTCTTTGCTTTTACTTTTATTTCCTTTTACTATTTTAGCAATTTACTTTAGATGTTTCATATTATATTGAAAACAAAAATTGAATGCGACCAATCTCTAGTTGAAATATATTGTGCATTAAATTTTGAGTAATAGATAACATATACAAAAATAATGTATGCTATTAAGGATTGGTAGAATAATTATGACGGCTTAAAACACACAAACTTTTGTACCTAATCCGGCGGTAGCAACCAACATAGTGCTGAACAATAACAATGAGAGTCAAAATGTGGGAAATGTGAGTGAAAGTGTTCAGGGTGTTACTATTGATCCAAGTACTGGTAGTTAAAGCAATAAAAAAATAATTCAGCCAATAAATAATATGTTAGGTAGCACTTATGTAGGACACATATGACGATAACAACAAATAGACAGAGTTAGAGTGTATTGGTTGAATATAATGTTAGTGGGAATATATCAGTTCAAAGAAATAATCAGGGAGTTCCAATAGTTGAAAGATATCTCTAGGGAATGCCATCATGACAATCAACCCCAAATTCTAATAGGATGAATGATTGAAGTCAAAATTAGTTAAGATTTAGAAATGGCAGAGGGGATAATAGAAATCAAGGTGACTTCAAAACATAAAGACAGGGATATCAAGTAGTATGTTAAGGGTCAGAAGACAACAAATGGATGATAGTAATCATCAAATGGTTAATATGTTATCCCAACAAATGACCACCATTTTAAATCCTTTGGTACAAACGACTACGAATAGTTTTCAAAGGTTAGCAGAACAAATGGCAAGGATAGGAGATACACTTGTTATCTCGAGAAAAAATAACTTAGCAAATGATAATATGCAAATAAGAAATAATCAAGCTAAACCCCGTAGAGAGCAAAACAATAATAATCCAAATATGTAAGAAAATTCCGCAAAGAGATGTCAGAACGGTCAATAGGGGTTAATATGCGGACCAAATCTTACATGTTTGGGATAATATAAGAGGAAATAATCAGAATAATGAGAATTACCAATAAAATACTTATAACCAAGTAATCAGACAATTGAATCAACTAGATGCCGAAATGGGATTATATAATCAATCATATTTTATCTCACCTTTTCTTGATTTGTGCTTGAGGTTTAATGTGATAATTCTGTATATCTCAATGTCTTGTAAGGTTAGGAATACCTCACACACCTCCACGCCAAAGACTCACGCCCACACCGCACAATACTCACTCACAATACCAACAAGAAAAATTGTCAAGGATTCATGGAAAAGAGAAAACTTTATTATATTCCCCTCATAGAAACCAACCACTCTATATATAATTTTGGTTTACACAAACTTACCCAAAATTATTAACTAACAGAATTATTAAACGGTTATCTATTACAGAGCATTATTACAAATATCCCCACTATCCAAAAGGACTTGCCCACAAGTCCTTGTAGCGTCCCGTACAAACTCGGGATGTTGTAACTTCAAAGTGTGTAATTCCTGCCAAATAGCATCCTCAGGATTAGTATGAAACCATTGGACTAATACCTCTATTACTGGTCTATTACCCTTTTTTCTTCAAGCATCTATCCAGAATAGCTAAGGGTGTAGGTTGCATTTCCCCATCTTCATTGTACATAGGGAGTTCGGTGGATACTGAATTGTCCTCATGATGTTGTTTTAACAATGAGACATGAAAACCATAATGAATTCGAGATCCAATATGCAGATCTAACTTGTAAGCGACCTTCCCAACACGTTCTAATATTTGAAATGGACCATAATATCGAGCAGCTAACTTGTGAAAGGATGTGTTGGCTAAAGTCATTTGTTTATACGGTTGTATTTTCAAATAAACGAAATCACCACAAGTAAATTCTTTATCGACCCGTTTGGGATCAACATAACGTTTCATACGTTGTTGTGCAATATGTAACTGATGCCGCAAAATTTCTAAAATTTGGTCTCTAGTTTTTAGCGTATAGGTAACTGCTTCCCCTAAAGAATCTGCCAGTAAAGTCAAATTTGGTACTATAGGTGGATAGCCATATAAAGCTTCAAATGGAGTCATCGTTGTGGTCGTATGGTATTTGGTGTTGTACCATAATTTTGTAGATGAAATATGATCAGCCCATTTAGTAGGTAATTCTCCTGTCACACAATGTAAGTAGCCCTCCAAGGCTTTATTAAGAGCTTCTGTCTGCCCATTTGTTTGTGGGTGGAATGCCGTGGATCTCAATAATTTAACTCCTTGAGTCTTCATTAATTCTGTCTAAAAGGAACTTAAAAAAAATACTATCTTTGTCAGAAATGATTTCAAATGGCCAACCATGTAATTTAACCACAAAGTCACAAAAAACTTGTGCTACTTTTGCAGCTCCATATGGGTGGGCCAAAGGCAAAAAGTGAGTATACTTAGTGAACCTGTCAAAGACCACAAAAATGATTGTCATACCATTGGATTTTGGAAGGCTGACTATGAAGTCCATTGAAATGGATTTCCAAGCATGGTTGGGAATGTCCAGAGGTTGTAATAGACTAGCAGGTTTCCGTAAGAAAGATTTATTCTTTTGACAACTACTACACTGTTGAACCCAAGCTTTAACTTCTTTCTACAGACCCTTCTAATAAAATTGATCTTTAATATGTCTATAGGTGAGATCAACCCCCGAATGTCCTCCTACCACAGAATTGTGAAAGTGATTCAATATGTTAGTTTTTATGATATCATTTGCTCCAATAACTACCTTTCCTTTACGACAAAGAAAATTTTCATCAAAAGTGTAGTGCTTATATGGTTGTTGTTGTACTCTTATTTTATCAACTAACTTCCGCAGCTTCGAATCTATTTTCCAAGAATCTTTTGCCTCCATAAATAATTGAGAAGTCACATGGAAAATGGCAGCCAATGTCCCTTCTTGCGGTCTTCTAGAAAGAGCATCAACAACTATGTTTTTATTACCTTTTTTATATTGAATGACAAAATCTAATCCCATTAACTTTTCTAAGCCCCAATTCTTCATAAGCGTAGTTGGAGGTTGCTCCAATAGATGTTTTAATACCTTTTGGTCAATCTTGATTATAAACTGCTAACCTAGAAAATAATGTTGCCATTTCTTGACGGAAAATAAAATAGCATAAAATTTCTTCTCATAAGCTGAGAATAACTAATACTTTGGTCTCATGGCTTTACTAATAAAGGCTAATGGATGACCATTTTGAATGAGAACCCGAAGCATCAGTCTCAATAGTGAATGGTTGTCCAAAGTCGGGTAAGGCCAATATCGGAGCTGTAATTAATGCTTTCTTTAAAGCATTAAAAGAGGACTCTGCTGCCATAGTCCAATTAAATTGCATCTCCTTCTATAGGAGCAAGGTCAAAGGTTGAGCATTTTTCGGTTGTGGCCACTATTGAACTGAAAAAATATTCTCTGGCTTTGGTTGCACTCCTTTTACAGATATTAGATGACCCAAATACTCAATTTGCGTTTGACCAAAACTGCACTTTTTGAAATTGAGGACCAAATTATTAGCTTCCAATATTGTCAAGGCAATCCGCAAACATCGTATGTGATCTGTCCAAGATTGAGTATATACTAAATTATCATAAAAAAAAACTAAAATAAATTTTCAAAGATGCTCACGAAATATGTCGTTCATTAAATTCTGAAATATCGTAGGAGCATTACTTAATCCGAATGGTAAAACTACCCATTCATAGTGACCATTATGAGTACGAAAAACTGTCTTGTGAATATCCGTTTCAGCCATACGAACCTGATTATATTCACAACGCAAATCTAATTTAGAAAAATATGATGCACCATGCAATTCATCCAACAAATCTTCAATTAGAGGAATAGGAAATTTGTTTTTAATGGTTAAAGCATTTAACCTCCGAAAATTAGTACAACATCTCCATGAACCATCCTTCTTTTTTACTAATACCAAAGGTGAAGCATAACAACTCCCACTTTCTCGAATGAACCCCGTAGCTAGTAAAGCCTTGACCTGTCGTTCAATTTCCTCTTTTTGTGCATGTGGATATCAATATGATTTCAAACAAACAGGTGTGTCAGAGACCAAAGTAATCTTATGATCATACCTACGTCGTGGAGGTAAGGTCGTAGGTTCTTGAAAACGCTTGTCAAAACTTGCCAATAAAGTAGTCAATTCATCTTGCTCAGTAGATGTCAATTTGGGTAATGTAATATCCATACCATTTTGACAGTGAAAAAATCCCTGCAAAGCTAATAACATAGCATTGCATTTTGCTGAGTGTAGTTTCCCATTAAGCTCTTCTACAACCACTGATGGTTGCTCACGTTGGAGATATACCAATTGCCCATCATGTTCAAACTTCATTATAAGCTCACCAAAGTTCCATTGTATCTCACCTAACGTCTTGAACCACTGCATTCCTAGTATAATTCCAAATGAAGTGCTAGGTAACACCAGAAAATCAACATGAAAGGTATGGTTATTAAACTGTCACTCCACCTGCGAGCAACTGCAAGTAACTATTAACTCCTTGTCAGAGGCCACCATAATAGGGAAATCTGATATACAAGAAGACTTCAACCCCAAAAGTTTTAACCCAATGGGCACTTATAAAATTATGGGTGCTGCTAGTGTCCATAAGAAAGGGAACATAACGTTTCTTGATGAGACCTTTCATTTAAAGAGTATTTCCTCCGACTACTCCTTGTAAAGCATTTAAAGAAATGTGAACATCAGAATCCCGAACCATATCCAAACTATTGACAATAAGATCAGTATCGATTTGGATATTTGTATCCTCTGAAGCAGACAAATGCTCTTGTGCTACAAATATAGCATGCAACTTACCCCATACTTTACATATTTGTTTATGATCTTTATCCCATTTATCCCCACATAATTGACAAAGGCCTTTAGCAATTATTTCACTAACTTGTTTTCTGGATAACGTAGGAGTATTTGAGCCCCTGGAATCTGGTACATTTGAAGTATATGTCCCTCATGAAGGTATTTGTGTTGGAAAAATTTGGGTCATGTATATATATGATACATAATTTAAATGTGTTAGGGCCATTATTTATTAAGCCAAATAATAAAGTGATCTGACTAAATTAAAGTTTTGGCTAAAAGCATATGTCATGAAAATAAAATCGTGTAGAGACCATAGAGCAATTTCTAATTTGATGAGGGGCCAAATTGGAAATACTAAACTTAAGTAATTAACCTAATTCTGGTTATCTAAAGGGTCATGGTCCCCTTCGAGAGCACACACACGAACGTAAGTTTCGGTCCGTTCCTTTCTTTCTATCCCCATCAAGAGAGAAAATCAAGAGGGAAATACGGGTGCTCTTCGGGTGGAAGACCATAAGATCAATATAGTGCTCTACAAAGACATCATCGTTATGGCTAATTCGAGTACGCTTTCGCATTCGGTTTACGACATGTTTATCAGTATGGGATTATGTTTATGTTTGATTGTTAGAATCAAAATCAGGATTATTATTATTATTATTATTGTTTTTCCAACAATTGGTATCAGAGCCGCCCATATTTGATTCATGTCTGTTTAATTTATAGAACCCTAATTATGAAAATTAGGATTAATTTTGTTTTAAACAATTCAGATTACCCAATTTTATGAACCCTAAGTGGAGGATAATCTCTAATTTTTTGTGAACCCTAAAATTTAAATTTGGGGTAACATCCCCAATCCGATTCCGCTTGTCGATGGAACCGTGGAGGAAGCTATGGATTCTTCTTCTTCTTCGTTTTTCACTTTTGTTTCAGTTTAAGTTTCAAGTTTTACTCGAGAAAGAAATAGTGTTTCATATTTCAATTTTTCTTGTATTGGGTTCTCTGTTCTTTTTTGAATCTTTTGTTTTTATTTAACTTTATGGGTTTGGAATTGGGGGTGGTGTTTGTGGAGTTCCCAACACAGAGAATCTTAGGTAAATGATGAATGTTTCCACATGTGTGACTGTTATTATTTTATTGCCTCTATCCCTTAGGAATTTAAGGAAAATTTGATGTTAAATTAGGGTCTGAGTGATTACTGTTTAATTCCCTTTTAAGGTTTTAGAGCAGTATGCTAAAGAGACTCAGAACTATCTCTGTTTCATCCCTAGTGTGATTTTTGGAAGATGTTCATCCTTTATGTATTGGTGGAAAATGAGGCCTTTTTTCATCCTTTGATTTGTTCAAATGAGGTGTTCATCCCTAATGAGATTCTAGGGAGGTGTTCATCCTTAGTAGAATTATAATGAGGTGATTCTCTTTTGAATTAGTTTGCAAATATTAAATATTTGGTTTTGTTATATAAATAAAATATTCAATTTTTGGTAGTTTAATATTTTTTGTGAGCAAATTGAGTCAAGAAGTCACCAAAGTAACTTCTCTTGAATTGGGCAGTTCATGAAAAATATTGAATGTTAGTGTTTGTGTATATTCATGCGAGTATTAGTCGGCCCAAAGGAAGATTAATATTTGGCCGAATTGCATACACACTTGTAATGATAAACATGTGATAATTATAAGGATTTGCTTTGTCGATGATAAATCAATCCAAAGACTGGTTTGTTGTTGGACGTGCTTTATTGTCAATGTTTGATTATTACAACAAGATACCTCTAGCGAGTTAATATTACTGTCCAAAGACTTGATATTGATGGTGCATTGGGTATCTTGAGATGGGTTAAACCACTATTTGAATATATATTATTTATTTTTTATATAATGTGAGCATAATTAGTTTAATTGGACTCCCGAACAGTAAGTGGTTATATTATTGGTTATGCTGAAAGATCCAGGGGATATAAATATTATGATCCCACATTAAAGACAATTTTTTGAGACGGGAACTGCTACGTTCTTTAAGGATATTGAGTTTGGGGGGAAGAGTAAGATTAAGAACTTTATCTTGGAGGAAGAATCGGTAACAATTTCAGAACCAATTCAAATAGTTACTTTTGATAAAGTAAGTTCGGAACCTCCACAAGGCATTGTTGATGAACCCCTTACTCAAGATGATTTGGTTGTTCATGAAGAACAAACTCAAGATCCTCAAGAACCTGTGCGTCATGAGCCAGGGATACTCCAGTTACTAAGGGAGACAAGTTTAGTCTCAATCAGTGCCCAAAAGGAAATTTGGAAATTGAGGAAATGGAAAAGATTCCCTATGCATCAGCTGTAGGGAGTTTAATGTATGCCCAAGTATGTACGCGTCCAGACATAGCATACATAGTTGGGGTTCTAGGCAGATATTTAAGCAATTCAGGAATAGACCATTGGAAAGCAGCAAAAAGGGTCATAAGATATTTAAAAAGAACAAAAGATTATATGCTCACATATAGGAGGTCAGACCAGTTGGAGATCGCTGGGTTTTCTGACTCAGATTTTGTAGAATGTCAAGAATTTGTAACTTGCTATGAGGTATCAAATCATGGAATATGGCTGAGAAATTTTGTCACAGGGCTGCAAATTGTGAAAGGTATTGAAAGACCACTTAAGTTATATTGTGACAATAAATCAGCTGTATTGTTAAGGAAAGAGTACAAAGTGGACAGATTTCCATAGAACACTTAAGGACAAACTCCATTATAGCATATCCTCTAACTAAAGGACTTCCGCCCAAGGTCTTTCATGAGCATGTTACTCATATGGGTGTTTTACAGTTTGAGGAATTTGTGGTTTAGTGGGAGTTAGTCACTTTCATATATTTTATGTTCTATGTTTAATTTCATATATGTATACATTGATTTTTGGACATATTTGGTTATCTATAGATATGCGGTTTTTTCGTTCATTCATTACACTTTGTACATTAAGGATATTATATCGATCTCGATAAGTTAAAGTTTGGACCAGTTGAAAATAGACGTGTACAGATCACCTTCACGTAATTTTTCATGCTACACATTTCATGATGAATCCATGTCATTTGGTTATGTTAGAATGAGTAATCATTGTTGGTTTTAGTTGCGATGATGCAATGAAAAGCTGGTTTGGTTCTATATCCTAATATGATTAATGGACAGGACTTTTGGAGTATGCTAAAGGAATATAATGGCAATTTTGAGCTCATAAAGTCTAACACATTTGTAAGGTTGTAAGGACATATATATTTGTGACCAGTGGGAGATTGTTGGAAAAATTTGGGTCATGTATATATATGATACATAATTTAAATGTGTTAGGGCCATTATTTATTAAGCCAAATAATAAAGTGATCTGACTAAATTAAAGTTTTGGCTAAAAGCATATGTCATGAAAATAAAATCGTGTAGAGACCATAGAGCAATTTCTAATTTGATGAGGGGCCAAATTGGAAATACTAAAACTTAAGTAATTAACCTAATTCTGGTTATCTAAAGGGTCATGGTCCCCTTCTGAGAGCACACACACAGAACGTAAGTTTCAGTCCCGTTCCTTTCTTTCTATCCCCATCAAGAGAGAAAATCAAGAGGGAAATACAGGTGCTCTTCAGGTGGAAGACCATAAGATCAATATAGTGCTCTACAAAGACATCATCGTTAGGGCTAATTCAGGTACGCTTTCGCATTCAGTTTACAGCATGTTTATCAGTATGGGATTATGTTTATGTTTGATTGTTAGAATCAAAATCAGGATTATTATTATTATTATTATTGTTTTTCCAACAATTTGTTGTTTTAAAGTCGTAATAGGATAATTCCTATTGGTCGAAGAAAACAATGACCCATTCCTTTCAGAGCGTTCATAAGAATTCAAACTGGGCACCTGACCATAAGAAAAATGAGTGGTCGTAGCTTGTAATATTTCATCTTGAAGTCTTGCAATTCGTATCGCATCTTGTACTGTTTGTGGACTGTGCACACATACTGCCCTTTCTAATTCTCTTGTTAATCCGACAAAAAAAAAAAAACTCAAAGCAATATCTTCAGAAATAACCACTCTAGCTAATAACGAATCATATTTTTCCAGATACTCCAATAAGGCTCCATCATGTTTTAATTTTGCTAACTCCGCAATGGGATCATCAATAGCCCCAAGATCAAAGCGATTACCCGTATCTTGAATAATTTGTCGTCACGTTTTGAATTTGTTTGTAGGATTCTGCATATAATGGCATTGCCAAGCAAAGGCTTTACCATCCATGGATAACAATAATAACCTACTACGTTGTGTCTCCGGAGTTTGTTCCAAATCAAAGAATTGTTCCGCCTTGGCCTTCCAGTCTCAAAAATTTGACCATCAAACGTAGGAAAATGTATTTGTGCGCGCTCCATTAATGAAGATCTTGCAGGAGACGATTCTTTTCTCCTTTCTTCCTCATAAGAACCATTCTTGTATATTTGCGATGACGTGATTAATGTCGCAAGTCCCTCCATAGACTTTTGCATTCTTTCCAAAGATAATTGCACCGATTCTTAATGATAAGTGAGAGTCTTTTCATAAGAATCCATACAAACTTCTAATTCTTTCATAGTCACCATCGTCCCCAAGCTAACTGATACCAATGTGATAATTCTGTATATCTCAATGTCTTGTAAGGTTAGAAATACCTCACACACCTCCACACCAAAGACTTACACCAAAGACTCACGCTCACACTGCACAATACATACTCACAATACCAACAAGGAAAATTGTCGAGGATTTACGGAAAAGAGAAAAATTTGTTATATTTCCCTCATAGAAGTCAACCACTCTATATATAATTTTGGTTTCCACAAACTTACCCAAAATTATTAATTAACAGAATTATTAAACGGTTATCTACTACATATATAGCATTATTATATTTAATTGCTTAAAGGATAAAAGATTCCAAATTTTACAAAATTTGCAGGTAATATGGGGAGTCTACTATTGAGCATATAACTAAATATCAAATCGAAGCTTGATTGCTTAACAGCTTTCCAGCAGGCCACACATTCATGGTGTCTTTTGGCTACATTTTGTTGTTGTCTTTTTTTTTTTTTTTTTTTCTGTCACGGCTTGTGGGTTTATTGTCTGCTCTGCTTTCTTGAAGCTGCTTCCTGGTTGAATACATTCTTTGTTTTATGTTATGGCCCAAACGTAAACAAAGGCCAAGGTCACCCAGGTGGACAAGAGAAGGAGGTATAAGTGCAAATGCACCTACTCGGAATTGGAGAGAGGTTGTAAGTCATGTAACTGACCTAGTTGGTAGTGAGGGTCATGTGGCTCTTGTGAGTTACTGGGAAGGGTCTGTTAGAATAATGAGTGGTATGTTATTGGGAATTTTTGAGACCTGGAACTTGAATTTGGAGGATGGGAGCATGATCAAATTGATTTTTTTTTTTTTTTTCTGAATACATATTTGAATTCATACACATTGGCTTGTGGATCAGTTGTTCAAAGCCCATACATTAATACAATATCATTCTCTAATTCGTTTTCATTATAGTCTTGGTACCTTATAACTGGCATTCATAGCCCTTGATCCCAGAATTTTGTATGGTTGTCACGTGTGCTACAATGGAAACTAGGATGGAAAATGTAGAACTGGCAAATAAAAAATTGAATCCTGTTTGAATAAACAAAACCGAAGGAGAAATTATAAAATTCCCTCCTGAGTCTTCCACTCCCTTCCTTTCTAGTGTTTCAGAGTAGGTTCTCTCTCTCCTTGGTATTAAGCTTGAGCTTGTATTATTTTTAATTGTCTTAAACAAGAGGTCTATAATCTATGTATCATTGTTTTCATATATAGTGTCTTTTTCATGAGTAATAATAGCCACTGAAAATGGAGCAAAAGTTGATTTTTAGGAGGTAATGTGTCTACACAATTATAGGTTTGAGATGTAAAATGAACTAAAACATTTAATTTGAAGTGTGTTCTTAGATCAACTGTAGCTTTGGACTAAATATTTTGGTTATTTATTGAGCGTAAGTTCTAATTCAATTTTATTAAATGGTTCATATTTTGCAAGTAACTTTTTAGAGTGCAAAACAAGCTATGTGAGCAGGTTTTTGTAGGAGAAATTTATGGTTGATTAATAATATTAGGAAAAGAAAATATTTAAAAATATAGTATGGCTTATACTTTGATAGCCTTCCTGCTCCGTAAAACTTTAATTTCTCCACTAACATAAGTTCATTGTTGATAAAAGGTCTGTAACAATTAATCTTAGAATTTTTGAGCTTTTGTGCGGTCTTCCCATGTCTGTACATTTTAGATTATGATATAATAATTGAATGCTCTGAGTAGTTTCCAAATTGCTCGGTGATTGGCATTTCTTAGTTTCTATTTTCCAATGCATTTGACTTCGTTGCGTGTCCTAGTTCTTGGGTACTAATGAAATTATAGGGTTAGGAACGTGAAAGTGACCATGATCTAAATAATAATCATATGTTCATTTTAAAAAAATTACACCATGAGAAAACATTAAGCTAAATGAGTTTTAAAATAAAGGTACTTACATTGATTGTCATGACATTCTTGTTACACGATTCTTAAATTTTTTTGATGATATATATTTAATTAAAGGATATATAATTATCAACTCCGTGCTATTATATTTAATTTCTACTTTATTTTTTATAACAAATTTTATTGTGGCTAGATATTTAAACTCCATTAGCAATTGAGTTTATAATTCTAAACTTAGATATAAAATTCTTCAATCAAATATCATGTAAGGTAGCCTTAAAAAAGAAACAATCTCAGCCTCTACAAGTATCATGTAAGGTAGCCTTAAAAAAGAAACAATCTCAGCCTCTACAAGGAAACAGAAATTATCGTCCACTTTCGAATACATAACTTTGCAAGCTAGCATAAAAAGGTAATCAGATGTAAATATTTTAGCATCAATGTAAAAAAAAATTGTGAATTAGAGTAATATATCACTTTCAAATTAATAATTTGTCCGTATGAACGTGGAATTCTTTATTCCTTAAAGATATCTCATTACCTTTTTTTTTTAGTTTCTAATGATCAACAATTGGATTATTATGATATCTTCCCGAAACTTCAACTATAAATGTAATATCAAGTTTAGTGTAAACTCTAAGTATACATAAAGCTTTCAACAACTTAACTATATAAAATATTTTTCATGTGTTCCAACTCAAGATAATTTTTCAAGCATTCACTTAATTCAAGTCTATCACCCTTCATAATCCCTTTATAATGAGAGTCACACTTGCTGAACAGTAATTGATGTTAAATCTCTCCACATTATTGATATAGGTCTCTTGAGATGAATCCAAAATACTTCAAGATCTTTCTTTCCAGCTTAATGCTTATTACATAAGATGTTTCTTCCTTATCCTTCATATCAAAGTTCTTTTAGAAAAACTGTTTCACCTCATATAATATGATTTTGTCATTCATCGCAAGTAAAATATCATCCACAAATAAAATAAGAAAATAAATTTTACTCCCACTAACCTTATATTATATACATTTATTCATGACGTTGTCTTTAAAATCAAATAAAAATATAACTTCATGGATGTATAAACACTATTATTATGAGACTTGTTTTAATTCATATATGAATTTATCAAGGTTGCATACTAAATGCTTCCCATTATTAGAAAAGAATTAGATTATTTAATATAAACCTAATTTTCTAGATCTTCATCGAGGAATATTATTTTTACTCAAAATCAAAATGTGTGGTTAATGTCATTATTTTTTGAAGATAATATTTTGTAAACATAGGAGAAAATGTCTTCTTGTAGTTTACCCCTTCACTCTAAGTGAATTTAGCAACAAGTCTCGGTGTTTCTTAATATTATCTTGTAATTCTATTTTAGTTTTAAATATTCGTCTATATCCAATAAATTTTTGGTAAGTGAACAAAATTTCATATTTGATTAGACGTCATAAATCCATCTCATCATTCATAACATATTTAATTCTTTAGAACTCATGACTTATAAAAATATTTCAAGGTAATTTTGACTCTAATATTATAATCTAATTATTGTAAATACACTTCATAATCATAAGAAATTATCAATCTTTTTATTTTAGTAAATCTTTTTAATGTTGTCTGTCTCGTTACCTTGATGAGAGATTCGTTTTTAACTGGTTGCTTATAAAGTTGTTCAACATTAATTTGTTGCTTGTTACTCTTGGTCAATAACTTGATTTACATTATCATTCTCCACAATTTGTGAAATTTAAATTATTAGCTATTTAAGGGACTTTTGAACTATAGGAGTGTAATACTCTGACATTTAATTGGGAAAGTTAAAACTTCACATTGATTTTTTTTTAAATTAATATATTGAATCAAATCATTTTCAATAAACTTTTCTATTGATTATATAATTTTAATGCAATGAGATGGATAATAAAATCTATATTTTTTAATTTTTTTTAACATATCCAATGAAAATACCTACTAATAACTCTCCGAGTGACATAAAATTATTGTGACTGGTCTCTAATTTTATATACTTGCATTTAACAAAATTTCATGTATAATATTAACACAATATCCCAAAATAAATATATTATATCTAGTATATTAGGTAAGGATCTTCAAAATAATTCTCAATATAATATTTAAATTTTAAAAACATTAAATACCACCTATGAGTAAAAAAATTGAAATATGAGTCATTTTAACATTATTTAAACACCAAAAAGACATTTTTGAAAAAAACAAGGTCCAAAATAAGATTAGAAGGAAACAAACAAACTATTAATCTTCCTAATACATTAGTAATGGAAATGAATTTCCATTTTGAGCTTTCAAAAAACCATTAAAAATATTTTTCAAAGAGAGGTGGGAGAAAATTTTCCCATAAGAAACAAACACATAAATAAGTCAACTTATCGTTAGTCTATTTATAAATATTTCTCCTCTCCTGCCTCGTTAGCCTAAGGGGCGTGAGAATAATTTTTCCTTCTATACAAAATTTCACATAATCTCATATTTTCCTTTTCAAGCATGAGGAATGCTCCTAATCTTCAAGTGCACTAGTGCAAAAAGACCCTTTTAAGTAACTTAATTCTTGTTGGATCCAAAAATAACCGACTTAAAAAAATACAGTGTTAATTTTGTAAATATTGGGTGAGACTTTTACGTCGGACCCATAAAAAGGTGACGTAAAAAAGGTTTTTTACGTCGGACTAATAGGGGTCCAACGTAAAAGACCTCTTTTACGTTACCCCTTTATGGGTCTGACGTTAAAAGCTGGACTAGTTTTTACATCGAACCCATAAAGGTCCGACATAAAAGACTTCTTTTACGTTGGTCCCTTATGGGTCTGATGTAAAAGTCGCGTCTTATTCTATTCCTACACGACTCTCTCGTTTTGTGCAGCAAAGGTTTTTTAGAATGACGACAACGATGACCAGCTCATCTCAAGGTACATTTTGACCACAATGAGTAGCGAAAATACTTTCATTGTGTCTCATTTGTGGTGGTTGACATTTCTCTCCTATTAAATTCGAGTTTTACAACATTTTTTGTATATTTGAGGTTAGTGTTCTATGTGTCCCGTCTCCTCTTTTATGTTGAAATTGAATGTTTCCATTGAATTGTTATTGATATTGAACTGTTGTAGTTAATGTTCTATGCATTTGAATCCTACTTTTTTGTTGTAATTTGTATATTGGAGGTTTAGGTTGTTGTTGTTTTGTGTATTAGGGTTTTATGATGAAAAGAAAACGGAAAATGTTTGAAGCAAGATAACTTTTGACTCGGATGTCGGATTCGAACGCACAATATATCAAAACAAAGAGAAATAAGCGAACAAGAGGGGGTAGTTCCCAAAGGGGATTTGTCCTAACAGTTTTTTCAAAATATGCTCCTAAGCACATGTAATACACAAAAATTTATGCGGGTATAACCACTAGTGCAAAAATGACATTTTACGTCACCTAATTGTCGTCGCATGTCAAAATATTCGACGTAAATAAAACGCGGTGGCAATTTTGTAAATAAGAGGTGAAACTTTTACGTCGCATATTGTAGGAGGTGACGTTAAAAACCTCTTTTACGTCGCACCTGGTACAACGCGACGTAAAAGAGAGCTTTTTAAGTCGCGTGGGGTGTGTGCGACGTAAAAAGTGATACTTTTTACGTCACGTGGGGGGTGCGCGACGTAAAAAGTATCACTTTTTATGTCACATGGGGGTGCGCGACGTAAAAAGTGATACTTTTTACGTCGCATGGGGGTGCGCGACGTAAAAAGTACTTTTTACGTCGCGCACCCCTCACGCGACGTAAAAGAGGCTTTTTACGTCACGTGCTAGGGTGTGCGACGTAAAAAGTTCTTTTTATTCTCTTCCAGACCCACTCCCGCATCTTGCGCCGCAAGGGTTTTTTAGAACGACAATGAGAATGACGACGACAGCTACCTTTCCACACCATTTTCAATCATTTTGGCAGTGAAGAACATCAACATTGTGTCTCATTTTACGAATTTGACATTTCTCCCCGATTGGATTCGAGTTTGAAATCGTTTTCGTGTTTACTCGAGGATAGTATTCTATGTCTCTTGATATATGTTCAAATTGAATCCGTGATTGTTTTTGGGGATCTCAATCACGTCATTGTATGAATGTCTCCACTGGATTGTTATTGGAATGTCATTATTTTGTTTGAGTGCATTTTCGGTTTACACACTCCATATACGTGCTTTGTTGTTTGTATATTAATTTATTTTTAAATATAAATTTTGAATCTCTAGGAGTGACGAAACTTTATAACATAATATGAATCGAAGTTGGATGAATGCACATTGTATTAGTGAAGAGTACGGAAAAGGAGTTGATGAATTTTTTAAATTTGCTAATGAAAATGGAAAAGGTATTGAATAATATATGACTTTTTTTCATTTAGAATCGTGTCTATAACTAATGTTTTAAGTGGAAAACCTAGAACAAAGACTTTGCAGTTCATTTATCCTAAGGTTAGAAACTTATTATAATAAGTGAATACCATAATTGCTTTCAGCATTAGTTAAATTTATTTAACTTTAGGTGTGTTGCATGTTTACAAGAGTTAAATTAATGTTTCAGGTATTTCAAGATCCATCTTCATTGCCAGAATATGATATCACACAAATTAAAGAATAATGAGCAAGGTTTTTCATTCAACAATTCTAGTACTTAATTTTTTAGGTTATTGTTTATATTATATTGTGTGTATTATGTAGTTTAGGTAGCTTAGTTTGTACTAACTTTTAGTTTGTATTAGCTTTTAGTTTGTAATAGATTTTAGTTTCTAGGTTATTGTTTGTATTATATTGTTTTATTATGTAGTTTGAATTATATATAATATTATATTTTTTAATTACATAGCTAAAGAAACCTGAACCTCTGGATTGTTTGGTTATAATATATATTTGCAGGTTTTGGTTGTAAGATAAAATAAACCCAATTTTTTTTTAAAAGGAACAAATTTACGTCGCATATTTGTATACGCGACGTAAATTTACGTCGCATATATCAATATGCGACGTAAATTTACGTCGCATATTGGTATATGCGACGTAAATTTACGTCGCGTATACCAATATCCGACGTAAATTTACGTCGCGTATACCAATATGCGACGTAAATTTACGTCGCGTATAACAATACGTGACGTAAATTTGCTCCAAATTTTTTAATTTTTGATACTTTTTACGTCTGTTTAGTGTAAATGCAACGTAAATTAACGTCGGGTCTCGATAACTGACGTGAATTTACGTCAGGCTAAGGGTGCGACGTAAATTTACGTCTCCCGTTTTAACGTCAGTCTTAAATGCAACGTAAAAAACCCAAAATACCTGACGTAAAAAGCCTTTTTTGCACTAGTGAACCACAGGTAATTGCTTTCAACATTTGTTAAGTTCATTTATCTTTGTGTGTATTGCATGTTAACTGGAGTCAAATTAATGTTTCAGGTATTTCAAGATTCATTTATCTCTACAAAATAATAAGGTTTTTTGGTCAACATTTATAGTTTGTATTGTATTATGTACTTTAACATTTACGTAGCTTAGCTTTTGTATTAACTTTTGTCTTTGTATTATATTGTATGTTTGAATTATTGTTTATTGAAATATGATATCTGGACTACAAGAAAAAAAAGACAAAATTTACGTCGGTTACCCCTAGGTTCCACTTAAATTTACGTCTACCATATTAACGTCGGACTTGTTTTTGACATAAAAAAGGTCAAAATAACAGATGTAAAAGTCCAATTTTGTAGTAGTGGTGGCTTACCCAAGATGTGTTGATGAAAATATTACATCTTGAAAAGTCTCACATCATATTGGATAAGCAATTGAGTGGGTGATAATAGCTATATAATGAGCTTAAAGTCCATGAGGTTTCTCACCCCAGTCAAAGATACTTTAAACTTGTATTTGACTTTTCTTATACTCTTGTAATAGAGTATTGTGAGGTTTAGTTTAAATTCATGCTTTAGAGAGTGTGACTGTACTTGGGGTCAAGGGCATGAGAGAGTTGTCTATGTGTTATAAAAAATTTTACATAGTGTTATTCTTTGGTTATCATTAAATAATCATCATGGTTTTTCTATAGTTTTTGGAGTTTCTACGTTATATTCGTATGTTGATTATTTTTCTTTTATTTCTTTATTATTCTCCAGTTTTTGGACTTTCCACATTATATTCGTATGTTGATTATTTTTCTTTTATTTCTTTATTAATAGGGTAATTCTTAGAAATAAATGGTAATATTCTTTATGATGTTTTTCGCATCAAGATGTGATATGATCCACAATGACTAGTCTAAAGGATGTGTGTCTTTTCTAGTTCTAATTTATTAGAAAAGAAAGAATTAAAGCCTACACCCTCTTTATAATATTTTTACAAAGCAAATAAAAAATAGAAAAAGAGTGCGAATAATGTATTGTGGCATAAATGATCTTCCATCAATTAGCTAAGTTACAAATTTAAGAGGATTGTATTGTAACTAAATGGCAACAAAATTTTAGGGTGAATCCCATCCTCCTTCTGAACTTTGTATTAATAAAACTATTTCTAAAGGAGAACAAATTTAAGGCAAACATCCCTTATGGTGTAGGAAACTGTGAAAATTTATTGGTCCTCAACCTTTTAGAAACAAGCTCAGTGGCACCATACCAGTAAAAGTTATTGGCCTTTCTTCACAAACAATATACTCGGATGTATCTAATAATGTTTTGTCAGGGACACTTCTAGCTGAAGTGAGTGAGCTACATGACCTTGGAGAGTTGGTGTTGTCTGAGAACAACTTTTCTAGAGTCATTCCATGTTCTCTTGGCAGATGTATTTGCAAATGTCCGGTAAGAACCTAAGTTTCTTGCGAAGTTCACTGAGCTCAAGCATCTATATCTTTCATACAAATATTTTGAAAGTGAAATACCAAATAATGGAATATTTAAAAATGCAACTTCCATTTCATTATATAGAAACAATAAGCTATGTATCTCAAAACTAAATATCCCTGCATGCACTGTTAGGAAAAGCTTCTCTGGCAAGAAAACTTATTATCTTGCTCCTAAGGTGACTATCCCTATAGTGTGTGCACTTATATTATTATTAATTCTATCTTTGAAAACTCTTACATCAACTACTATGTAATCAAAGGAATTCTCTCAATAGATGAATCAAGTCGTGCAGTTTTAAGCATAACAATTTCATTTAAAGCAATTTGAAATTTCTGAAAAAGACATTGAGATTCATTCAGAGAATGAACATAGAGCAATTGATGTTGTTGAGATATGGTTGTCCATCAAGGTTCTGAAAAAGAAAAAGTGATGGTGTAAGCAAGCTAGGCTCAGTAGGTATAGTGGGCAGTGATAGTAGCGGCTTGTTATCCCTCCACTATCGGGAGAGGGAGGTTTTCGCTGTTCTGTGAATCCAGCCTCACGCAGTGCCCTCCCCTCTAAGACCCAAGAGATCTAAACCTTCGTCCAAATCCCATGGGTCAACTCTCAACTTGGAATGGGCAAGCTAACACATTGCAATCAAAGCCCAGCCCAGCAAACCACAGAGATATCCCATCACCATAACGCCCTCACGAGAGTGACAAGCTAGCGTAACCCAGCTCGGCAAGCTGACAACCTTGTCAGATGGATTATAAAGAATTGGTTAATTTATTTTGTGCTCAACGTGGGACTTGTAAAAGTAGAGGGAAACACAGACCGTTGTCTGAAATACATTTATATCCCTTTTTATCTAGCAAGATATAAACAATAATTCAAGTGATTAGATGAAAAATATTGCAAGTAATTTGTACTTTCTGCTTATCTATAAAGTGATTAGTTACAGTTTGCAGAAAGTGATTATTCCTTGTATTAAAATGACATAACAATCTCCCGTTGAGAACTGTTCTAAATGATAAAACTCTTGGTGTGCATAGCGAAAAAACATTTAGAAGTTTAAAAATTTATTTCAATAACTTAGATAAAAATTATTTCTAAGATAATTATTGAAAAAGTCATCAAACTTAATTTCATGTTACACTGTTATTAATACATATGCATATATGGCAAAAAAAAAACACTAAACTATGATTTTTTTTTTTATTAAATTAGTGATTTGAATAGTTTTTAAGAAAATTGTGTAAATAAGAAAGTCGTCTTTAAAATATATTTTAAGTTGACTTATGTTATATTTTAAGTTTTTTTTTACATATTTTATATTATTATTATTATTAAAAACGTTATAATGTTTAGGGTTTATTTTTTTATAATTATTTTTTAAAATGTATTTTATTTTCTCTTTTCATCTTTTAAATATATTCATTTTTAATCATATTTATTATATATAAATTATAATAACTATTTTTTGAAGTTATAATATTTTTCTTTTTTTAGAAAAAATATTATAGAAGAAAATCTCTATTATATATAATTAAAGATAATAATAAATATAATAATATAATTAATAATAATTATTAGTTTAATTATTTATTATTATTATTCTTATTGTTATATATAAATAATAAAATTAAAAAATAAAATTCGAAGATAAAAGTTAAAATAAAATAAATTAATACAATTTAATCTCACTCTTTTAAGTATATATAAGTGTTACGTGTTATTTCTTTTCATTTATATTTAGTTCGTGATAGAAGAAATCATGGGAGAATACCACCGCCAAGAACACTTTTCCTATGGAGATAAGTTTCTCATCTTGACTTATGTTATAGAATCATGGTATTGTTAAGTCTCAAATTAGAAAGAAATAACTAGTGTGGAAACATCATTAATAATCTAAATGTTAAATTGATTAATAATCTAAATATTAAATTGATAAAGAATATATCATGAAAATAAGAAATTGATAAACAAATATTACGGAAGAAGGAGGTTCAAAAATATTGAAGAAGTCATCATTAATTTGAAGATTTAAGAAATAAAGAATATTAGAACTAAAACACAATATATTGAAAAAATAAAATATCAAAAAGGAACATGCTTAATATGATATATCAATATTTGTAGAAACAATTATGATCTAATTTATTGGTATGCACAATTACAAATGACACGTATCAATAGAATAGACTGAAAGATATTAAAAAATATTTATAAGAAAATAACTGTTTAAAGATTTTATTTATTATTTTATTTTATTTTATTTATATCGTCTTGAAAGTTACACGAGAATATATATATATATATATATATATATATATATATATATATATATATATATATATATATATATATATTATCGTAACAAACGGATAGAGAGAGTTAACATCATAATAGTATAGGTTTTTATCGTATGGGGTGTATGTGTTGGTATGCCCACCCTAATATCCACGTTGAAGAAAAGTATCCTCATTTTGATCAGGGATGTGGATATTGTGGTTCTTCTCATCGTAATATTTCTCACGAAAGAGACTGAGAGCCAGTGAGGCTGTTGTTATATTTTCTACAATGTTGGCCTGATAAGCCTTATAATATATATGTTCTGGAAGGTCTGCATAATACCCCCAAGCAGAAGAATATCCTGCTTCATATAGTCTAACAAACTCTCTTTTATAGTACTAAGAGTGTCTTACATCCTCGTAAGAAAGAGTACCTTTAGAACCTAACTCTGGGCATAAATTCTTAGCAAGGTCATCTAGTTTACTGGGGAGTAGACGTAAGGAGTCTCTGAAGGTAAATAAGAGCCTATTCTTTGAATAAACAACAATCTCGTAAAGTATATGGTCTCTCATAATAGAAACTTTGTCCTTTCATGTGAACTTTTAATATTTTCAAGTTATTTGTATCTTCAATCACATAAAATTTGTGTTCAAAAGACACCTTATAACTTTTCTCCAATAATTGAGCAACACTTAACAAATTATGATTAATATCAGGAACATATAAAACATCAAAAATTAATTTGGTACCCGAATGACTTTTAACTGCAATTGTTCCCGTGCCTTTCACATCCATTTGTTCTCCATTACCAATTCTCACTTTAGAAATATGTGATTCGTTGAGCTCTTTGAAAAGTTCTCAATCATGAGTCATGTGGTTTGTACAACCACTGTCTATTCGCCAACCTGTGGATTTGTTGATTGTAGAACATGTTGATGCAAGGAGAAGTACCTTTTCTACTCTATCCTCTATAAATTGAACGACTTCCTCTGATTGTGATTTGCATATCTTTTCTATATGTCCCAATTGACCACTTTTGTAACATTTTACATCAGGCCTCCGCCAACACTTGTTGGATGTGTGATTATTTTTCTTGCAATAAGGACAAACAGAAAATACTCGTGATTTTGTACCTTTGTTGTTATTGGCTTGGAGAGAACCTCCATCATGATATAATAAAGAACCTTCACCAGCAGCATGATCTCCTCTCATCAATCTTCGCTGCTCTTGCGCTTCTAGGGACCCAACAAGCTCTTCAAGGGTGAGCGTTGATAGATCCTTGGACTCCTCTATTGCGCATACAATGTTCTCGAAATCATCTGTTAATGATCTTAAAATTTTTTCAATAACTCGGTTTGATGAAAGACTCTCACCATCCTGATTCAGCTTGTTCACCACGGTCTCCACTAGAGTAATGAACTCGGATACGCTTTCAGACTCTTTCATCCTCATGTTTTCAAGCTCGCCCCTAAGGGTTTGAAGTCGAACTTGTTTCACCCTTTCATTTCATTTGTTTGTTTTTTCAAGTGTATCACATGCTACTTTGGAAGATTTTGCGTTAGCTATCTTCTCAAAGCCAGATTCGTCGACGACTCGGTATAGTAGATACAAAGCTGCCTTGTCTTTAACTCGAACGACCTTCAATGTGTTCAGCTGGGCATTTGAATACCCATATGTGTTCGCCGGTTCCTCATACCCATTCTCGACCATATCCCAGTTATCTTGGGACCCGAGAAGAACCTTCATTTGTACCTTCCAGTTGTCATAGTTGGCGCCTTTCGTCAACTTGGGTAGCGGGATGCCATTGATTAGACCTGTCATTTCCTCTCAAGTGTTTGCACTCAACTCACACACCTTACAAAGTTATGGGTTGCTCTTCTCTCTTTCTTAGACGCTCACCTCACACACAAGCTCTGATACCAATTTGTTAGTATTTTGAAGGGTTTTGTATATATGTATTTCCGATATATCATGTGAGTGTATTTTTATTCATGCATTTTATGTATATATAGAGTAAAAATATTACAAAATATTAAATATTCATAATATCTGAATCATAACTTCCTAAATCAAAATAATAATTTAATAACTTTTTATCCTCTCTCTTAAAAAATAATAAATTTTTTAATATTTAATTTAAATAAAAAATAATAAATTATTTTTTAATATTTAATTTAAATAAAAAATAATAAAATAATATTTCTAACAAGTCAGCACGTCTAAAAAATGTTCAAAACTAGCGGCTCTATGCTACCATTTTTGGAAAAAGAAATATAGTAAAATGAAATCATTTATCGAGCTGATCCACCTGGTAGGTTGGGTCCGCTCTTCCCTAGAGCGACTTGTCTTGTACAACGTAGAATATTATAACATATCTCGGGAATATAAAAAGATGAAAAAAACACTCTATTAGGCTTTGTTTGGTTGGAGTGATTTGAGAGAGTGGAATTGAGAGAGTGGAAAAGGAGGGATTTGAAGAGAAATGGAGATGATTGAAAAGTGAAAGGAAAGTTTATGGGAAATTGTGAATGATTTGATTGATATGAGATATAAAAATTATAATTTTATGTTTATTATTTAAGAAAATTACCATTTTACCCTTTGTATGAAATAAGGTTCAAATGATTATAAATATAATTTTTTAATTAATTATCCATATTTTAACATTGATTATATATTTAAAAGAAAAAACAAATTTAAAAGTGTTTGTAATTGGAAACAAATTTAAAAAATTAACTTTTTTTAGATAGTTATTAAAAATTATATAAATAAACAATTACAAAATTATGTACATTGCATATCCATATTCAAATAATGTTGACATATTAAATAAATTATTTGACTAATAATTAAATAATTATAAAATATAAAATAATAATTAATATTGATCTGATAATAACAAATAATTATGAAAACTAATAATATAATTGTACATTATTATTTAAAACAAATATAAAATACAGTGAAAATAGAATAATAATTAAAGGAAAGATTACTAAAATTATAAATCTATGCACACTAATGTTCTTCAAACAAATAATTATAATGTTATCCATCTTTTGTAGTCAAGTCCTCCAGTTCAGATCATTCAATCACCTCCATTCAAGAACATGAACAACTCGGGAGAGACGAAGATGTGAGGGCAAGCCAAAAAGTCGTCTAACATGTGATGGGTGAGTACACAAATGATTATAACATCGAAGCATAAGTTGCTCGTCATTTAGGTTCATGCCGACTAACATGTCCCATATATCCGACTCCGAATGTTGAAATTTTGATGATCGTCTCATCACATTAACTTGCTCATTAATTAATTCATTTCTGCGTTCAATGGCGACCACCTGTCTTTCAGCCTATGTCGATAATCGTTGGGTGATTGTATTACCTTGCCCGAGGTAATCTGTAAATGTGTCCAGCCTCGATGTTAGTTTTTCAAATTGACCTTCCATCACATCAACCATAGGCGCTTTTCTTTTTGTGCCCCGAGATGAAGAGGTTCCACCCGAACCAGTAGACGCAGCAGATGGAATTGAGTGAGCACCCTCGCCAGGACCGTCGGAACCCATGCGTGGAGGTGATCGATAAGTCAGTATCAAATCCCGCATCAAAGCCAAAGTGAAATGGTCTGCTCCTCCGGTGTGGGGTCCACATCAACGTTCAAGTCGACCGTTGCCCTTCGAGAACCGATATTCATTCGGGCTCGACGCGAAGTTCTTGCCATATGTCCACCGGCTCGATCAAGCACCCCACAATTCTTCCATCAAATCATAATGTCTTATAGTTGCCAGCTTCCATTTAGCTGCAGAAGGCTTCGCCTACAAAATAATGAGAATGGTTAACACTTGTAATTGTTATGTTTTGCTATATCAACAAATGATAATTCATATAATAGTACCTTAATTAGGTCATCCCATACTTCTTGCTCAGCCACAAACCGTTTTGTCATATCATCCCAAGCGAATCCACTAAGTCCATGAAACAAATCGTGGACCTCCCGCCATCTATCCTTAAGACTTTTTTGTCGATTTTTAACATTATTTTTAGTTATACCAATTAATCCAGATCGTCTTAGGGATTCAACTATATTCTTATATGCTTGGGTTGTCCAACTACCATCAACCCGATTACCCAACCTTGCCTCATCAAGCATAGCAAGTCAACAACCGAAAGTCCATGTCATCGATCCATTTTGTAAACTCGCGCACTACAGGTGACGAATCCGGTGCAATATCCTTTCCTCTCGTTCATTTTAAACCTATTGGAAAGATAATATATGTAATTACGATACCAACATATAATTATTATAAATAGATAATCGTAATGTAATCGTATTTCAACAATAACAATAGTACATCTTATTAAATATATTATTATATACAAAATCTAATGACTTTGATAATCTATCCACATTTGATTTGCTATAGTATCTCTTAAGTTTGACCCTTCCCTATAATCCTCTTCCCGAACTTGAGTCGACATATTATCCACATCTTGTTCCATCAACTCTCGATCCACTTCAACTAACAGTGATTCATCGTTGTCTATCCCTCGAAGAAAATTGTGTAGAATGCAACATGCTAGGACTATATTCGTCATTGTATCAAATGAATAATGAGGCTCTGTTCCACTAGCTATTATAGGAAATCTTTTCTTCAAAACTCCAAATGTTCTTTCAATGACATTTCTAAGAGACGAATGTCGATGGTTAAACAATTCTCGGGGTTTTGTGGAGCTCGTCGAGAATACTCTTTAAGGTGGTATCTAACGCCTCGATAAGGGGTCATTATGTTTGCTTTTAACATAAATCCAAGCATCCCCCAAGTAGTATTTACCTATTTAAAATCATTGAAGTTATACTAATTAGAATATTTAAACTAGTTGACTATACACAAAATCCGCATGTTATAAATAATAAACCTTGTGGTATGATAAGGCGATCCTCTCTCGTAAGAACATCCTTTAATATTCTTGAATCGGATGTCTGTTCCTTCCCACCCCGCTAGAACATATGTGAATTTCATGTCGAAATCACAAGCTGCAAATACGTTTTGTGTTGGCCAATCTTTTCTTCCACGAAAACGAGGGGCATCTGATCTTGCGACTTTAACTCGAACATGAGTTCCATCTATTGCCCCTAAACAATCTTAATGGGTAAAAAATTTATTGTCATTAAAGTTTAGACAATCTATGTGTATGTTATATAGACACAACGTTGGTAAGTACATTACCTTAAAGTATGGGTAAAATCGGTTGTTGCTTAATATATACGGACACACATCCCTTCCCGATGGTTGAACAATTAATTGTTCGTCCAACATTATTATCGCATTCAACACGTTATGAAAGTGTCGACTAACGGTTTCACCCGATCGATGGAAAAAATGAAACAGCTTCGATTTTTAACGTTATGTCCGATAATATGGAGAAATTTAGCCACTTGTTCTTCCACCGTTGATTGTAACCCATCGTTTACTAATCCAGTTGTCCTTACTCGTTGACACAAGTTAATGAACGCCTCCGGTCCCATGCGAATAATGTGACGAGATTGTTCAAGTATGAATAAGGTATGACATCAACTCGTGCCGACGACGTTCTTTTTCGAAATAAAGTCCCTAATGTTACTCGCTACTACAAGTTACCATAGACAACATATTTAATCCATAAGCTATCAAACAAAGAATTGTCATCGCTCCTATTTCGCTTCGCTTTTTTATCTCACTTTGTATATGTGAAATCATGTTTATATCCGGATCAAGTATCTATATCGTCATTGTCTAAACCAATGACCTCGATGTTTTTGTCTGCCATCCGCAAAATATATATATATATATATATATATATATATATATATATATAATTAATTAATTAATTAATGTTTAATGGAAGTAATTCAAAATTGCCATCTGCAAACCAAGTATCACAAAACCAAAAATTATTTACAAAACTACTAATAATTTTTTCCTCTAATTTTTTTCCTCTAATATTTTTACTAATAATTATTTACAACAAATTCTCATTTCTTGTTGCAGGTCGTACCTATTGTACTAGATTAAAAAGAAATTGCAAGCGGCATAAAGTTATCATATGTAAGTGTTGTCATAATACTTATACCTAAATGCTTAGATTTCGAATTTTGCATTATCCAGATCAAAAGTACAGCAATATTCTTATGCAGGTTATACATGTCAATACAGATCATTCTTCAAATTCAAAACACAATTTTGGTATACAATTATAACATACATAAAATCAACAGTTGTAATTGATTATAAATTAAAGTTTTGGGTTCATCATTTTCTTATACAATTTCCATAAAAGCTATATCTAATTAAGGATGATAATTAAATCTACCACTCGCAAGTGACCGATTGGTCCCCGATGTTGAGTTTAACAAAATAAAACTGAATTTTGTTCCTTAAAAAAGGATCAAATATTTTATTACATGCACATTTTAATATAAATATAATAAATTAAAATATATACTCAATTAATAATAATAATAATAATAATTTAAAAATTGTAAAATTACAAATATTTATATATGTATACAAAACAATACATAAAAAATATGGTAAAATTAATTTATTATAAGTATAATTATGATTTTAGAAATAATATAGAATGGGACAACAAGCTTGGTACCTTGTCTTCAATCCCGCGACTCGATTCCTTGGCAAAACTTTCAGTCCAACAATGAGCAGTGTTAACAAATGTCCGATAGTCTTTCGATATCTGCAAAAATAATCTTATTTTTTGTAAGTAAAAATAATGTAATTTTTTCCTCTAAGATACAGCCTGCAACAACAACATAACCAATGCACAAGTCAGAAACCATGGTCGTATGGTGCACATTTTTTGTTGGAGTGGAGGAGGTTTGGCCATGTTTTATACCTCAAATCTGAATGGTCACACACACTCTTATGCATGCACACAGACTCCAAAAACAAACGTACCAACCAAGTTTTATGTTCCAACCATGACAGAGAAGACACAGAACCATACCTGGGGTGTTCCTCCGACAATATACCAAAAACAAACGTACCAACCAAGGTCACACCGAAGTTAATGGCCGCCGGCGAAGATCCAACCTACAACAGAGTAGCTTTGCTTTGCTAGAGTCTTTTAGCTAGTCTTATGAGACTAGCTTTGCTTTATATAATACAATAACTTTCCCTGTAACTTCTATCAGCTGTGAACACGTGAAGTTGGTCATACGACCGTGACCACTGCATGTACAGCCGTGACCACTGCATGTACAACCCGTGACTTCGTTCATGACTTACCTCCTTCCGTCGTGTTTAGAATATATAATCTGTCAAATGATCAAGATTTTAGATAACGGTTCCAGTAATAACCGCTATTACAAATATATATAAGATAGCGGTTAAACTGGACCGCTATTATATATACACTTTTAAGAGCGGTTACAAAGATAACCGCTCTTAAAAGTAACCTGTGATAGCGGTTATATGTTAACCGCTACCTAAAGTTTTCAAATGATCGATTATTTTGCCAAAATGATCGATCACTTTTCCAAAACCTCGACACTTTAGATAGCGGTTCAACTAGAACCGCTATTACAAGTTATACTTCGCTTGAGCGACACTAAACTCGCTCGAGCGAAGACACCTGCACATAATTTTCATCCTCGGGTTGTTTTTCGCTTGAGCGAAACTAATCTCGCTCGAGCGACTAGCAAAGATCTCAGTGATTTGATGAAGTCAAAGATAAAGTCAAAAGTCAACTCTGCAACAGTCAAACAAGTCACTCAGAAGAATGGAGCTGTCTTAACAGAAAGCTTAGGTAAAACCACTTTACCTTTTCCACTGCATGAAGCTCCTTCACTCAATTTGCAAAATGCCTCAAAAATAGTTTTAAACAAATCAAAGAAAAGCATTTTGACAAAGAACTTTCTTAATAATGTTTTTAACTGATATAGTTTTAAAAGAAACAATTAAAATCACTTAGAATGCGTAAAGAAGTGTTTTTAATCGATTAAAACACGTTTTAATCGATTAAAACCACTTTGGAAGTCAGGATGATCGATCAGAATGTAATTATGACCGATCAGAGTTGGTTATGATCGATCAGAATTGAATTATGACCGATCAGACATATTTCAATCGATTAAAACAAATTTCAATCGATTAAAATGACTTGAAAATTTTTGTACAGAGTTTCAATCGATTAAAACGCATTTCAATCGATTAAAATGACTTAGAAAAAATTCTGTGCAGGTTTTTAATCGATTAAAACTTCTTTGTATCAGCTTAAAATAACTTGAAAAGTGTTATAAGAAAGTTTTAAACTGAATCAATCGATTAAACCGCGAATCAATCGATTAAATCACTCTTAGAAAATGTTTGTAAAAAGTTTTAACTGATAAAAACTTGGTCGTATCGACTAAAACAATTCCGTTAAAGGACAAGAACGCATTAATGGGTTGAAAGGACTTTTAACAGATTATAACGGCTATTTCAACAGATTAAATCAAACTTTCAACAGATTAATTAATGCAGCTTTTTCTGAAAACTTTTTATAAACAGAATTGCTTGGAACTTTTATCATATCAGTTTTTAAAAAAACAAAGCAATCAATTTAAGCAACTGTTAGCATCCTTTTTCCAAGAAAGAATTACAACTGTTTTGTGAAGTTCTTTTTGAAATCTTTCTTGAGGCATATTGCATTCTGTGAAGAAGAAACTTACTGTGGATTAAAGTAATCCGGTTTGAGCTTTCTAAGTCTCTTCTTTGTAAATTCTTTTTCTTCTACTTTAAGAATTAATAATATAATTAAACTCAAAATTGAGAATACTCTTATACATTTTGAACTCTTTTGGATAAATTTTGTTTCCCTAATTTTTGATAAAGTTAATTTTAATATTTAAAATTATGTAACATTTTGAATTCTAAAAGGTTTTCTCTAATAGCAAATTAAAAAACATAATATTCAAAAAAATATTTTAAGATTCGAGTCTCGGGTTGCATTTCGCTCGAGCGACTATATCTCGCTCGAGCGAAAACGATCCTGATCGATCATAATTTGAAATGATTGATCATAATTGGAGGATATAATAGCGGTTCCTCTGTAACCGCTATCTAAAGTGTATATTAGATAACGGTTCCAGTGGAACCGCTATCATATACAACCATATTTTAATTTCTTCAGTCTCGGGGTGAGTTTCGCTTGAGCGACTATATCTCACTCGAGCGAAATATGATTCTGATCGATTAGATTTAAGAAATGATCGATCATAATTGGAGGATATAATAGCGGTTCCTTTGTAACCGCTATCTTAAGTGATATATAATAGCGGTTAAGATTTAACCGCTATTAGAAGTGATATATAATAGCGGTTATGTTTTAACCACTATTAGAAGTGATATATAATAGCGGTTAAGTTTTAACCGCTATTACAAGTGCTATTATAATAGCGGTTAAGATTTAACAGCTATCATATGGAAGAGGGTAAGTTTTATCTCCAGTAGACTTTCGTCTCTTTTCTTCGCAGATTAGCGAAGAAAGTCTCTCTCCCCTCTCCCCCTTTTCCTTGCCTGCATTTCTTCGCAAATCTGTTCAACCAAATGTGGGTGAATCTCGTGCTTCTGTCTTCGTGAACAGTATTTCGTCGCAAATCAGTTCAAACAAACAGAGCATTAGAGTTTTCGACAATAACTTGAGAAAGCCTCATAATGCAACACTATCGTTTCTTTCTAATGTACGGGATAAGAGGAAAAGTCGGGCCTCCACATTCGTGAACTTCATTCATAAAAAAGATGCTCAAATAGCTGTCTATAGCGTTTTACGTGTACAAAAATGGTTATCCTCTGGGATACAGTGCACGACAACTTCATAACTAATACATATAATTGTGAGATTATGCCTGCCATTTACCAAAATGTCTTTATTGCAATGGGCCCCACACTTAAAATCATTAACCGCTTTCTTTATACAAATCTTATCCAACCTGCTATAAATAATGGCTACCATAAAAATGATAGCGGTTTCTATTTGGAGTCTTTTGATGATAAGATCATATCACATAGTATTCTAGATGAGTTCTTAAATCTTGGAGGCACTCCTCCATTCGAGGTCAGGAATGTAGCAGGGTGGAAGAAAATAACCGAGCAGTTAAAACAAAGATATATACTCTATTGTAATGATGTCTGCGATCAATTGAATGATGAATTTTATGAGGAAAAGGACAAGAGATTTGATGATCATTTGAAAAAGTGGGAATGGTTCAAAAGGTCCCTCTCAGGGGCCTATTGTATACACCATTAGATTAGATGATGATGAAAACCCCTGACCATTGGGGAAGGCATAATGTTCCGTACGACAGATTTTCGTACTCTAGCAACTGAAAAATCTAGATTATTGAACCATATTCAGTCCTTATCCGATGGATAAAGATCATCCCGGTAAAATGACAATTTATGCTCAAAGAAGAGATGGTAGAGTAGAAAGCGACCCCTCTAGCTTTCAGCCACCGACAAAAAGGAAACTAAGATGTGTACTATCTGACAGTGATGAGAAGTTGTTGATGATAGAGTTTGGCGAGCACACCTTAGAGTGCCTACTTTGTTTAATCTAGAGAATTTTGTTAATGTTGCTAGTTTGATTGATCATATAGAACGGAATGCCATGCATTATGGAGCATTCTTGCGTTATAAGAGTAGTTATAATAATCCAAAAGAAGCTGTGGAGTATGCTGGTACTAAAGTCAAAACAAAAGAGTATCCCTATGGTACAACATTAGGGGAATTTTTAGTGGGTCGTCGTCTACTGCGTTTGGTAAGATATAATACGGATGAATTGAATCTATCAGATTCGAGTAGTGGTAGGGATATACCTAAGAATGTAATTAAAAAGAAGAATAATTATTATAGGAGTTCTTTTGTTTATGTCGAATGCTTGTTTAGCCCCCCATTACTTCCTATTAAGTTTAACCTATCAATGGTATATCCTCCAAAAGATTGGGAGCCCCCCAGTCCTGAAAAAGGCCGAAAGTGGTTAAATATCTGAGATATCTATGGTGGTTATTTAAGTAACCCTTCAGGCCAAATATACAGCACTTAGCGGTGTATGAGATCATCCTATGCAAAGAATTTTTTTATTTATTTCGGACTAAATAAGGATTATCAAAGTCATGAGAAGTTAAAGCATCTTTATACTTCCATAAGTGGCTTACAGCGTCAAAAAATTATTATTAATAATAGGAGTTTGTTTGAAGACAAAGGGTTATTGATGCCTAAATTTCTTTCAAATGTCATATTATCCCGTATAAGATAAAATAAATGTAACTGAACATTTTCAAATTATACAAAAACTTACATTCTAAAAAATATTACGAATTGGAAACAAAATTTTTTAATTGAGTTCTTTGTAATTTAGATCGTCATTTTTATTGATTTTCTCTATTAATTTCTTTTCTATTTTTGGTAATGAATTAAATTTATTTTTTTGTCATTTACTTTTTTTTTCTTTTACTTTTATTGCCTTTTACTATTCTAGCAATTTATTTTAGATGTTTCAAATCATATTGAAAATAAAAATTAAATGAGACCGATCTTTAGTTGAAATATATTGTGCATTAAATTTTGAGTAATTAATATAAAGAACCTGCATGATGTTTAAGTAATTGTGGAGTTATGTTTAATTAAATTGAACAGTGAATCATTTATACTAGAAACAAATTGGCACGCCCACTGAGATGACATATACAAAAATAATGTATGCTATTAAGGAGTGGTAGAATAATTATGACGACACAAAACACACAAAGTTTTGTACCTAATCTGGCGGTAACAACAAACACAGTGTTGAACAATAACAATGAGAGTCAAAATGTGGGAAATGTGAGTGAAAGTGTTCAGGGTGTTACTATTGATCCAAGTACTAGTAGTCAAAGCAATCAAGAAACAATTCAGCCAGTAAATAATACGGTAGGTAGCACTTATGTAGGACACATGATGATAACAACAAATAGACAGAGTTAGAGTGTGCATTGGTTGAATATAATATTAGTGGGAATATATCAATCCAAAGAAATAATTAGGGAGTTCCAATAGTTAAAAGATATCTCTAGGGAATGTCATCATTACAATCAACCCCCAATTCTAATAGGATGAATGATTGGAGTCAAAATCAATTAAGATTTAAAAATGGCAGAGGGGATAATAGAAATCAAGCTGACTTCGATAACATAAACACAAGGATATCAAGTAGTATGTTAGGGGTCAGAAGACAACAAATGAATTATAGTAATCATCAAATGGTTAATATGTTGTCCCAACAAATGACCACCATTTTAAATCCTTTGGTATAAACGACTACCGATAGTTTTCAAAGGTTAGCAAAACAAATGGCAAGGATAGGAGATGCACTTGTTATCTCGAGAAAAAATAACTTAGGAAATGATAATATGCAAATAAGAAATAATCAAGCTAAACCCCGTAGAGAGCAAAACAATAATAATTCGAATATGTAAGGAAATTATAATCCACAAAGAGACGTCGGAATGGTTAATAGGGGTTAAGATGCAACCAAATCTTACATGTTTGATAATATAAGAAGGAATAATCAGAATAATGAGAATTATCAACAAAATGCTTATAACCAAGTAATCAGGTAATTGAATAAACTAGATGCCGAAATGGGATTATATAATCAATCATATTTTATTTCACATTTTCTCGATTTGTGCTTGAGGCTTAATTGCTTTGAGGATAAAAGCTTCCAAACTTTACAAAATTTGCAGGTAATATGGGGAGTTTACTGTTGAGCATTTAGCTAGATATCAAATCGAATGTGGGAATTTGATAACAAGTGGGAGTTTGATAATGAAATATTTTCTAAGTTCTTTAACGAAGAATGATTTTACTTGTTTCACAACATTGCCTCTTAATTCAATATTTAATTAGGCATAGTTAAAAAAAAATTAACGAACAATTCTTTAAAGGATAAACTTATGTTAGTTTGATCAATTTGATGAATGTGAAAAGATACCATAATAAAAATATAGATGATTATTTGAACAAATTTAGACAAATGAGATCAAGGTGTTTTACACAAATTCATGAGAGTGAGGTAGCGCGAATGACAGTTGTAGGGTTAAAGTTTTCGATAAGGAAGAAATTAATAAATGTGTCTTTGAGAGATATCATAAAATATGAGAAAGAAAGGTATCATAAAATTGGTAAAGTAGTAAATAAAGATAAAATTTGGTATATTGAAATCGATAAATATAATAAGGTGTTGCCAAATATTTTAGAAGAAAATGAGGATGAAGAAATGAGTGAAAATGATAATGAAATAAATGTTGTTCAAATTAAAGTTAGTCCACTTTATGTTTGTAAGTTATTACAAAGAAGTGAAGTTTATGATAAAATGGCGAATCAAACTTATAATTTTGATGTGACTATGATAGATAATATTTTTGATATTTTATTGAAAGATAAACGAATTAAGTTGAGTGATGACCATAAATTGTCATCTTTAAAGCAAAGAAGTGGACAAAAATAGTGTAAGTTTCATATTATATATCAACATTGGACTAATAATTGTATTCATTTCAAGAACACTATACAAGATGTTATCGAACAAGGTAGACTAAAATTTGAAGAGAAACCAATGAAAGTGGATACAAATAATTTCAAAGCTCATGTGGGTTATGCAAAATTCAAACTTAACATTATTGATGATGTTAAGAGTCATGTGGATGATATAGGAATTTACATGGTGGACATTAGTCAGAATATGTAAATCCGCAACATGTCAAATTAAATGATGGTGAAGAAGATTTGGAATTGGAATTGGAGGTTTCGAAGTAGAAAATGATGGTGAAGAAGAATTGGAATTGGAATTGGAGGAATTGGTGGATTTTTTGAATTTAAAGAAAGAAAAGGATGAAGATGTGGTTTTATGTCCAAAGTGTAGTGCATTGTTTGATAAAGTTGCTGCTAAAAAGTTTGAAGTAAGCAAAACGACAAGAAGCGATGAGAAACATAAGCAAAGTGTAGAGTGTCATGATCAGAATTTGCAGGTTACAATGAGGCATGACCCCAAACAATATGTGAATTATCAATCACACCCAAAGATTAGCCAAGATGGGTGGATATGGGAGAGGGTGTTTAGTTGTCAAAATGTGTATGGACCAAGAAATAGAACTGTCTTTGATAGGTTGTCATACAACCTCGATTTTTATACTGGATATCCTAAGTTCTCAAAAGGATTCTACTGAGGAAGTCCTTGGATGAGGGGAAACATGACACAACCCTTATGGAAAAGAGTATCGAAGGTTCAACCTATGGATCGAGGAGGACCAAGCCGAGGTGGTCAAGTTTATACTAGCACTTTGATTAACCAAGGAGAGGGGTTGAGTGCAAATCTTAGATAAGGAAATGTGAATTTCGAATTTGCCGAATGAGTATGCTATTGTGTATCGAAGATTCGAATAGAGAAGATTTCTATGAACCTGATCTGCAACCTAAAACAGTTTAGGTCACTCAAGTTTCATGTGAATCATCTCACAAAGATGCAATATTGATCAATCCACCAAGTGAAGAGATGGGATTTCATCTTAAGTATTTGATATTAAAAATAGAAATCGAAGGTGTCATAGTGTGCTTGTTGATGGAGGGGCAGCAGTAAATATATTACCAAAATCAATGTTGAAAAGATTTGGTAAGAAAGAATAAGATTTGATAAAGAATAATGTCCCAGTGTCAGATTTTAGTGGGAAATCATTGAGTTTAGAATGAATTATAGCTCTCAATGTGTCAGTAGGAACTTATACAACGACTATTGTATTTGTAGTAGTGAAGTCTCATGTGAATTTCAATGTGTTGCTAGGTAGAGAATGGATACATGACATGGGGGAAATACATTCGACTACTCATCAAAAGCTTTATATGTGGAATCGAGATAGTCGTTTGAAAGTAATTCAAGGGGATCAAACTGATTTTTTAGCTTGTGTTTCTCATGCAGACAAGCCTTTGAGAAACCTAGCTATGACTAAGTCGTTTTCCTTCGAGACACGTAAAGATTTTAACTCAAAGATGCACAAGACATGGTTCATGGAAATGCACCCCAATGAAGGCTTTTTGTTGAGGGAGGAGGTCAACCTCGAAGTGGCCGAGGGAAATGACTGAGTCCCATTATGAAAATTTCTTGATTCGATTGTAGAGTTATGTTGGTTCATTGCATTTGTAGGAGGGTCGAGAAATAGTAAGTAGAAGTAGGATCAAGTCGAATAAGTCGATATCATTGACACTAGTTTGTAATAAAGATCCATTAAACAACAATGTTAAGTTAGATTACATTATACTTTCTCACCTTTGGGATTTGAAGAATCGAGCACAAGAAGGAAAAAGAAAGTTGAAGCCCAAGATTCATTGGAAGAAGTTGATTTGGGTGATGGGAAGGAGAAAATGCCTACTTATATAAGTAAGCTATTAAGTGAAGATATGAAAGAAGAGTTGATTAATATGCTTAAAGAGTATAAAGATTTCTTTGCTTAGGACTATGATGAAATGTTAGGATTAGATCGGAACTTAGTAGAAGATCGATTGCCTATAATCGAAGAGAAAAAAACCTGTTAAACAAGTTCCTCAAAAAATTGCATAAGAAGGCATGGATAAAATTAAGGAGGAAATTTAAAGATTGTTAAAGGCTAAATTTATTAGAACAACCATAAATGTTGATTGGATTTCTAATATTGTTCCTATTATTAAGAAAAATGAAAAAAATGATAATATGTATTGATTTTCGAGATTTAAATAAGGCAACACCTAAAGATGAATATCTTATGCCTAATGCTGAAATGCTAAGTCTTTTAGATGGGTATTTTGAATATAATCAAATATTTACTATTGAAAATGATAATACGAAAACCACTTTTCGATGTCCTGGGGCATTAGGAACTTATAAATGGTTAGTCATGCCATTTGGTTTGAAAAATGTTGAAGCGACTTATCAAAGGGCAATGAATTTAATTTTCCATGATTTGATTCAAGATTTTATGC